AATTTTTTTTTAAAAATTCAATTATTTTCAAAAATATTAATAAAATTCAATTATTTTTACAAATAATAAAATTTTTTCCAGGAATTTAGTTATTTAAAAAAAAGGTTAATAAAATTCTTTTGCAAGCATTCAATTATTTTTAAAATTAATACAATTTTTCACAGTCATTTAATTATTTAAAAAAAATTTAATAAAATATTATTCTTTAGCAAGAATTCGATTATTTTCATAAATAATAAAAATCATTGCAGAATTTCAATTATTTTTAATGGCATTTTAAATAAATTTCTCAAAAAAATGCAATTAGGGGAGACTGGGGTAAACCCGCTCACTTTTTTTCAGATCGGCTAAAATCTAGGAAATTATTCTCTAAATCCAAGTTAATTTATATCATTTGAAAGCTTATGATTTCTACTAAAAAAATAAAAGAGAGTTTTTGATTTATCTTTTTTAGTTTTACTTAGAGAAACTTTTTAATAAACATATACCAAATTTCAAAATCACAATTTTCCAGGGTAAACCCGCTCACTTTATCTTTTCAAGACGGAACAGTTTTATTTTTTAAATATTAAAGTTCGTCTTATTCCCGTCTTAAGTATGATTTATTATTGATAATTTATGAGTTATATAAACAATTCTATAAACAACAAATTGGTTTAATAAATATTGAACATAGATTTCATGAATTACAACTATGGATTTAAATAGTGTTATATTTTATTAAGAGAAAGTAAAATGTAGTTACAATTTTGGTTTAATAAGTCATAAATAGTGTTATTGTTGAAATATAATACGTGAAATTATTTTATTCTAAAATTAAAACTAAGTGAGCGGCTTTACCCCGACTTCACGTGAGCGACTTTACCCCGAGTGTATTCCTCACATTTTAGAATAAATTTAATTAAATCTTTTTAAAATAAGACAAAACTATATATGTACTTCGAAGAAGGACATCCAATGGCAACAAAAAAAATTTACCAGATAAATTAATACTCAAAAATAATGATCGAAAAACTTAAAAATCCAAAATACGTTTTTTTTCTGACACCTCTAAAAACATTTGATTGTCTCTGATTCTATGTTGAATTCATGAAACTAAACGAAAGTTCGTTAATATAAGTTGAATGTTAAGTACTATTCACAGTACCAATATTTCCATCTTAAGTTGAGTTCATAGCGTCAAATCGCTAGTGAGCGGGTTTAGCCTGTGCGCGGGTTTACCCCAGTCTCCCCTACTCTTAAAAATGTTAGTAAAATTGTTTGTATAATTAAAATTTTTTGAAGATTGTTAAGGGTATTTGAACCATTATGACGTCAAAATTTGAGCAAAGCTTGTGTTTTAAAACTGTGACTTCATAAAGGTTCAAATGCCCTTAAATTTCCAATTAATAATTGTAAATTTTGTAGTATTATAGAATTTAAATAATTTTTATATTTTAAAGAATTTTATTTTTTTTTACTTTTAACAATTATTTTCAAATATAATCGTATTTTTGAAGAATTCTAGCAAAAATTTTGAAAAATAATTGTATTTTAGAAAAGTTTAAAATTGAAGTTATTACCAAGGGTAAGGAAAAAAGTGAATTTTATGAAAATCAGGTGAATTTTGTAAATCGACTAATTCGAGTATTTTAGTCAATAAGTTTAATTTTTCTATAAATACTTTTTTTATTATTATCAATACAACTTATTTTGTTTTATTTTTTATTTATTTTCTGCATTAGGTCGTTACCTAATAAATTTTTGACATTTATGGGAATTAATTATTTAGAATTGAAAACACTTACAATTATTTAAAATAATTAAATCAAAATTGATATCGCCATATTTGCTGGCTAACGATTTCCATTCGATTGAAATAAAAAAAAGAGTATGATTGATACAAATCGAATTTGATGAATATAGGATTTACAAAGCTAGAAATAAAGAAATCACTTCCTAACGCGTCATAAATCTACCGCACCCTTCTTGAGAATGTTTTTCTCACATCCCACTAAAGTAAACTAAAGTGAAGGCGTGAAAATAATTTCAAGAAAAACTTTTCCTTCTTTTTCCCTTAATTTGTTTTCCACGATCATTAATATATATATATATATATATATATATATATATAGAACAAAGCAAATCAATAGTAAACGACAATATAATTTCCGTAAATATTTTCTTTTCTTTCTAAATAGAGAAAAATGCCAGAAATTTTTCCCTTTTTTGACATATTTTAACGAATCTGCTTGCTCAAATTTTATTCGATTGACACTTTCGAAACTGTGTGCGTACCCGTATTTACCCTTTTTTTACAATATAACTGTGTATCCGTTACATTTAACACGGTCTGTTTCCTTCCTTTCCGGAGGATTTTAACTGCGTGTGGTTGTTTACTAAATCACACATCAGTCACTTTGTTATCAAAATAAATCGTGCATTTTTACACATATAAAACAAAATCAAACCATAATAAAGATTTCCGAGTTTTCTTTTACCCTCACAACATAACGCAACATCTATGTATACAAATCCACAGGAAAAAAATATTTTTCTATAAAAGCGAAAAGTAAATTTATTTATTTAACAGAAAGAAATTAATAATAACCGATAAATTTCTAACGAAAATATAATTTTAATGCTCTTCAAGTGGTCGATAAAAAACAAAGAAGCGGATGTTTGTGACGGGTTTTTACTTTAAGTAATAAATATTCAGTGATAATAAATTGTGCGTAAACAATTTATTATTCTTTATTTATTAATTAAAGAAATTCATTTTATTTATGTTAAATAAATAACAACAACAAAATTATTCGTAAATAAACTTGTTATTTATTATGTATATTTATTTATTACATAATAGTACAAATACAGAGCCGTAACTTTGTGTATACTATGTTAACCGAGGTCTAGTTAAGAACTGACCTTTTTGGGCCTTTTCTCCCTAAACGCAGTTGTACAAGGGAAGCTGCGTAGGAGGGATGGTCCAGAGATGTTCAGTAGAGGGGGAAAGTGTAGGAATTTCGTTACACCCCTCGACTTAGACTGACCTTAGCCCTCTAAGGTTTTAATTTAATAATTTGAGGTAGGATTCTAATATTTTCATCTTGGTGCACTGACTCTGAAGGAGCTGTTGCATAGCGTACTATAGGAGTAGTATTTACATTCGTTTTGACGCAGAATATATCTATACATAGTTGTTTTGGTATACAGAGTGTACATAGTTTAAAAATTCCTATTTTGTAAAGTACATAGATTGTTACTAAAGTCAAAGACGAATAGCCTAAATACGTTAAAATGTCGCTACCTGTTTCAACCCAGGTTTTTGTTCTCCTATTGTTCTTTATTCCTTTAATAGATTCTTCCATAGTGTCTATGCTACGCTTCAAAGAGTTAAGATTATCCCTATGTAAAGTTTCTTGTATTAAAGGTAGTTGCGAATCGAGTAAATCTAAGTCGGATTTGTTAATGGTAAATGAAATATTTTTCTTAAATTTAATGTCGAAATTATGTTCTAAAGATGTTCGTAGTTTAAGTATTGATTTTGGTGTTTCTATTATACAATCGGAATTACTGTAAACTAAGCTAGGTTCTTTTAGTGTTATAATTTTATTTTTTTCGTTGCAGATTGTGTTTATCTCTATTTCTTTTTCTGGTATGATCAGATATTGATTCGAATCGTGTAGAGGTATAAATGCAAGTTCGGATATTTTAAAGACGGAAAATTCACAAATTTTGTCTGATATAATTTTTGCTTGGCTTTTTATAATATTGGTTTCACAATTTTGTATTTCGCTTACAAGAAAACTCGGTTGTACTCGTTTACAGATAAATGTGTTTTCTAATTTCTTACAATTTTGTAGTGTTATGAAATCGGTGGGGACGTAGAAACTTTTTTCAGGATTTATAAGTATAACCTCATGGGATGGAATTGGTGCAATAAAGCTTCTTCCATGACGAATAGGAATTGGTATAAGGTGAAGGGTTTGAAGATTTGGTTGTTCTATTTCTGGTACTTTAAGGATGTATATAAGGTTCTTGTTCGTAATGCTAACTGTTATCTCTGAGATGTCAACAATGTGTTGGTAATTTTGAGGAATCAGTCTAATAGGGTATTTAACGTTATTTTCTTCTTCGATTTTCTGTAATTCTTTAATTAGTATGTTAGGTGTAAGGATTTGTGGATGTAAAATTCCGTGTTTTCCGTCATTAACAGCATTTATTATAAGGTTTATGTCTTCACTAATTTCTTCTATGGCTATAGAACATAATGTAATCATATTAACCATTAGAATATTTTGAGCGTTAATATTGGTAGAGTTAATCATTTTATTTAATTGGTTGATTAATTTGCCTGATTCATTATTGAGAATTTGTAAATCGTGAGAGGCGGAATTAAGGAGGGTTTTCATAATCCTAGTTTGATTATTTATAGAACCTGTTATTATTTTTTGATCAGCATACAATTTATCAAATTCCTGATTTATAATTTCCATGTCATTATCGTCCAGTGTGCCAAATAAGGTTTTCGAAATCGTCCCAATAATGTTCAAAATTCCCCTCTTTTCCCGAGCAGCACCCAGTATTTGGTGAAGTGTGAGTTGAAGGTCAGCTACCCTATTTATTCTATTATGGAGAACGTTAATCTGAAATTCTTCTGCACAGTGGTGGCATAAGTGATAGACTTCGGAATAAGTTTTCCTAATGCTTTCGAGCCTAGGATTTATATTGCTGGTGTCTACTCCTATCACTAACTTCCAAGTACGATGATATAGGCTTGTTTTCCCTAGATTTTCGGCAAATATTGGTGTATTGGAAATTGGTTGAAAAATGACGTCTGAATAAACGGTATGGACAACGAAAAACGTTGTGAATAGAAGTCTCAGCATCTTTATAACCTAAAAAATATATAAATAAATTTGTTTAACTTTATTATTTATTTATTTTCTTGGTTTTCAATTATAATTTTGAAAAATAATTAAATCGTTCTAGAGCAATGTGGATTTCAATTTTAATATTTAATAATTATAAAGTTTGAGTCTGTCAGCGTGAATATTCGTCCTCTCATTGTTAAATATAATCTCGTAATTATTGTTAGGCAATATTTTCAGAATGGTTGCAGGACCTTTCCAATCAGGACTTAGCTTATTTTCTTTATTGTTTACTATCATTACTAAATCTCCTATCTCAAAAAGTCTTTGTGGAAGGATTATTTTTGCGTCTTGTATCCTTTTATATTTTTCTTTGGACTGTTGAATCTTATCTCGAGCTTTACCGATATATCTTTCGTGTCTCTCTTGCCAAAGTTTAACTAATTCAGAGTATTTAAGACTAGGGGTAGTGGCTAAAATAGAAGGTATATTAGCATTTCGTCCAAAAGTTAGTTGAAAAGGACTAAACCCCGTTCCTTCATGTTGCATAGTGTTGTAAGCCATACATATAAATTGTAGTGTTCTATCCCATTCCGTGTGAAGATCTGTCATCGCCGTCCTAATTAAATCTTTGATTGTACCATGCGTGCGTTCCAAACTTCCATTACTCTGTGGGTGAAAAGTGGTAGTTTTCACATGTTTAATTTTGAATAAATTCTCAAAATTTTGCATTAACTCGGAAACTAGATTTTGTCCTTGATCCGTCAAAATGTGTTTAGGTGAGCCAAAAGTGTATATGTAGTGATCAAATAGTTTTTCGATAATTGTTTCCGATCGCACGTCTTTTAGCGGAATTAATATTATGTATTTTGTTAACATATCTTGTATGGAAAGAATGTATTCATTGGCTTCGGAAGTAATCGGTAACGGTCCAAAAATATCCATTGCAATTTTATCGTTTGGTTCGACAGGCGTATCTGGTATTATTGCTTCGGATTTTCTTTTAATTCTAGTCAACTTTTGGGTTTGACATGTATGGCACTTTTTTATAAAATCTATTATCTCGACTTCCATATTCTTCCATATTCCTAACTCACGAGCTCTCTGGATAGATTTATTTTCTCCAAAATGGAGAGCCATCACTGAACCATGACTTTCTTCGATTATCTGTCTTCTTTCAACTGCAGATAATTCAGTATTGGGATTGTAACACGTGAGTATTTTCAGTTCAGGATATTTATAACTGATAAAAGATATTAAAATTTTTAACTTTATTTTTTCCGTAGACGTAATAGTTGGATCGTTAAAATGCATTCTCAAAATACTCAATCTCTTTGATAATGTCCAAATTGCAGTGCCGTTTAATATTTTGAGCCAATTTTTTTCATTAAAAGGGGGTAAAATTCTAATGTCAGGATCATCAGTTTGTCGTTTTTGGAATGCTTTCCATAATTTTCCATTAGCATTAGGTTTTTCCACTTCTCTGGTTTCGGTTCTATTCGTGAACCATTTGTAATAGTCTTTGTATAACTGTTGATCTTCTTCTGTTATAGGTGGCACATTAGAATTTTGTGATATGTTATCTGTGTTAGTTTGTGTCTCTCCCCAATCAGAAGACAGCTGATAAGTGTCTATAACTTGCACATCAGTAAATTCATTTGCAACACTCTCTCTATTAGGTGTGTTTTGAATTACAGGTATTGGTGTATTTAATTCTCGTTCTAATTGTGTGTCCGAAATTTCAATATCCGGCAGTTCCGACTCTAAGTCGAATTCGGTTGAGTTCAGTGGTGGTGAGTGGTCATTGCTGTTAACATGATGAACGCGTGAAAGAGCATCAGCTGCTGTGTTTTCTGACCCTTTTTTATATTGAATCTCGTAGTCGTATTCCTCTAGTTTCAGTCTCCATCTCATTAGTCTTGAAGATGCGTCCTTTACATTAAATAACCATTTTAATGCCTGATGATCGGTAAGAATTTTAAATTTTCGACCTAATAAAAATTGCCTGAATCTTTGAACTGCCCATACAATGGCGAGAAGTTCTTTTTCTGTGGTAGTATAATTTAGTTCCGGTGCATTAAGTGTTCTTGAGATATAATAGCAGGGGTGGCCATCCTGAGATAAAATGGCTCCTAAACCAACGTTAGATGCGTCTGTTATTAAAGTGAATTCTTTTTCGAAGTTTGGATATTTCAGTACCGGTGCTTGGCATAGGGACAGTTTTAGAGTATCAAACGCCTTTTGACAGTCAGGGGTCCAAATAAATTGTTTCGATTCTTTTGTGAGTTCAGTAAGAGGTTTAGCAATTGTGGAATAATTTTTTATGAATTTTCTGTAATATCCAGAAAGACCTAGAAATGATTTTAAACTAGTACGGTTATGTGGGACTTTGAATTCAGATACAGCTTTCGTTTTATTGGGGTTAGGTTTGATTCCGTCTTTGGTAACTAAGTGTCCTAAATATTCTAATTCAGGTCTTAAAAATTCACACTTATCAGGTTGTAATTTTAAACCCGTGTGTCTTAATCTTTCGAAAAGAAGTACTAAGTTTTTGTTGTGTTCCTCTATAGATGAACCATACACAACAATATCGTCCAAATATACCATACAAATTTTGTTAATTAGACCATTTAATGCTGTATTGATCATTCTTTGAAATGTTGCGGGGGAATTTTTTAGTCCGAAAGGCATTCTTTCGAACTCAAAGTGTCCATCAGGTGTCGAAAAAGCAGTAAATTTCTTGGAACTTTCTTCCATGGGTACTTGATGAAACCCTGAGCTAAGGTCAAAGGCTGAAAAGAATTTAGCATTTCCTAAGTTATAAATGATATCGTCTATGACCGGTATCGGGTATGAATCTTGATCCGTAATTTCGTTAATTTTCCTAAAATCAATTACGACACGCCATTTCTTTTTTCCCGAAGCATCTGTTTTTTTCGGTACTATCCACACCGGAGAGTTGTACGGCGAGTTTGAATGACGTAAGATTTTAGCATCAAACATTTCTCCTATTTGAGTAGATACTTCTATCTCGTGGCATTTTGGTGGTTGATATGAACGTGTATTGATTATTTTATCCTCTTTAAGTGTGATTTTGTGATGGGCGAGGTGTGTACCAGGTAAAGGATCGCCTGGTAAACGGAATATATCGTGGTAAGAATGTATGATTTTCAAAAGATTTTCCTTAAACCTTGTTTCCACGTGATTAACTCGCGTATTATCGTTAAGTAATTTAATTCTCTTTGCCAATTCATTTACAGAAATGCGTATAGCTCCTGGTTTTGGTACATCCGATGTAATATATCGATATTGAATATCGTTTAAATTGAGATGTTTTGGTGATGACGAATTGTTACTAACGGGTACGGTTACGCTTTGTTCTTGAATTGAGTAGATCGAGTCTGGTATAAATGGGTTGTCAAAAATTCCGACAGTACCTTTCATTTTTGTAACCGGAATACGAATTAATTGGATTCGATTTGGGGGTATTATAATTCCATCTTCAATCAGTTCGTGTTCTTGGTCGTTTAATCTTAAACTTGTATTGGATAATCTATAAAGGTATTGTTGTAGAAATGGGAGCCCTAATATACCGTCCTCTGGTAAAGGAAAACTATCAGGTACTATATAAAAAACATGATTTTTATTTAAGTATTTTATTTCGGCAGTGTATTTGGCAGTTTGTGTGTCATTACCCATTTGAAATTTTTTTTCGCATATTTCTTTAGGGAAAGACTTTGGAAAGTGTGATTCTTTAATTAGATTTATTGAAGATCCTGTATCCACGAGGAGTCGCAAATTTCGTTCGAATCCAATAGGTTGTATGGAGGCTGATTGTAATCTTCCGGATATGCAACTGATTCGATCGACGCGATCTCTATCGTTTCTTCTTTTTCTACTTCTTTGTGGTTTATCTCCTCTTCCGAGACGGTTTCCGTTGTGTAATGAATTCTCTGAGGGGGTCGCTTTTGATTTTGTGTCCCATGAAAATTTGAGTTTTGTTTGTGATAGCACTGATTTTCGGTATGCCCTAATTTTTTGCAAAAATTACACGTCATCATAGAGCGCTGTGATAGCGGTAAATTATGATTAGGTGGCTCGAATTGTTTTTCTTTGTTATGAATCTGTTGATGGGGAAATTGTCTACGGTTTGAATTCTCGCTTCTTGTGTTGTTTGTGTGAGGATGTGATTTCGCAATGGTCAAAACTTTGCTTTTTAATTTTTCGCGATACCACGTTTCTGCTTCTAAGGCTTCTTGTTGAGCATTAACTATTGTGGATGGTTTCAGTGGTCGAACTTGGCTTCCGATTTCGTCACGAAGGTTCATAATGTATCGCTTTATTGCCGCCTGTTCCTCGATTTGAAGGGCAACTCTCCTACTTATTGGACCTGAATGTTTTGACTGAATGGCATATTTCAGTTCATTAAAAACTTGTCTATACTTTTGGTTATAAACTTGGACAGAATCATTATTTTGTCGACAATTTTCTAATTTTGTTCTACATAATTCCACGGATGTTTCGGAATTCAAGTTTATTTTGAGGGCTTCAAATAATTCTTCAAAAGTATTTACAGGACAATGTCGAATAGCGCGTTTTGCATTACCTAAGATTTTTTCAGTTTTTACAAAATCTAACAAAAGACCGGGTTGTGAGCATTTAGAGATAGCACGTTTGACGTTAAGAATAAAATCTTGAACTCCTACATCGTCTTGTCCGTTCAAAATTTCTATGGTTCGAATTATTTCACTTGCTGGAAAAGTTTCAGAGTTAACACGCTGTGACGGGGTCTGTGTACCGTAGCCTCCCGTGGCACCGGGCGCCTGCTGTGAGGGAAACTCATTATTGCCTGTTTCGAGGAATTCTTCTTCCCATGAAAAATTATTTGAGTTTTCGCCTTCCAATTTTTGTCTTGGATCCTTAAAAGAATTTTTATGTTTCCTGTTTGTTTCGTTTATATCGTCGCTTTCTTCGTCTTCTGTGAGTTGGAGCATGTTAGTTTTTAGGGCAAGAGTTTTTATTTCTTCCGCTCTCTTGGAATTTTCGTCATTGAGTATTTTTTGATTTTCCTCAATGAGGGTTAATTTTTTTAAAATTAAATCTAAAGTACTGTTCGTATTGTCTGTCATTGTGTCAGTAATTATAGGATTATTGGATTCTACGGAAGGTAATGTTATATTAGTTTCGGAATTTGTGTGAATTTCTTCAACAAAACCCTTTAAATATCTAAAATATGAATTTAAAGCCAGATTGTTGAATAACAGCAAATTCAAAGTTTTTATATTTTCCGTCTATCTTGTGTGTGTGTGTGTGTCGCGTTCGCGATTGTATAAAAATTTATTTATTTATTAAAAAAAATATTTTTTTTTTATGATTTGTTTATTTAAAATCCTCACTTGTACAATCCGTCTACATGGAGTACATACAAGGTTAATTCGGATTAAGTTTCCGTATTTATTGACGATGATAATACTCTTAAACGCACTTGAGTTTACCAACGATTTCTTTTTATTTTACTTGCCTCTTCTTTCTGCATATGCGTAGGCTACAACTCTGCTGCGGTCTCCTTGGTCGTCTTCTTCTGGGATTTACCGTACTGCTTTACGTTCCCGAGGTCTTATCGTCTCGATCGACGAGCCCTTTTATTAATTAATCTTTGAGATTTCGAGTTTACGTAGTATAGCACCTACTTAATTCAGCCACTAGTTTTACTCAAAATCAAAAAGATTAAAAAGTTGAATGTTTTTTTTTTTTTTTTTTTTTTTTTTTTTTAATGTAAAATTGAGATATATCCGTCACTTTTCACTTGCGTTTGATTTATCAAAGGTTCGTTTCAAGATACGGTTTTTTTGAGTATCACTTTCCGTAAAAAGAATAACTCAACACGTATCCTGGCAGGATCGCCAATTTTGTGACGGGTTTTTACTTTAAGTAATAAATATTCAGTGATAATAAATTGTGCGTAAACAATTTATTATTCTTTATTTATTAATTAAAGAAATTCATTTTATTTATGTTAAATAAATAACAACAACAAAATTATTCGTAAATAAACTTGTTATTTATTATGTATATTTATTTATTACATAATAGTACAAATACAGAGCCGTAACTTTGTGTATACTATGTTAACCGAGGTCTAGTTAAGAACTGACCTTTTTGGGCCTTTTCTCCCTAAACGCAGTTGTACAAGGGAAGCTGCGTAGGAGGGATGGTCCAGAGATGTTCAGTAGAGGGGGAAAGTGTAGGAATTTCGTTACATGTTTCAATTTAGCGATAAAAATATATTGAGGGTCCATATACACTCAACATTCACACGAATGAATAACAAAAATAGTGTAGCATAATTTAGAGATGGTTATTATATATTTTCAGACGAGGAGTGATCTGCTTTGAAGTGTTAGCAGACATGAAATATTAATTCGGAACGTCCTCTTTTGGTTGTATGAAAAAGTATGATGGTAAAATTGCACTTCGCATAGTGAGGACGATGGTGTTTATAATGATTTAAAGTATATATAATAGTGGATCTCGTAATTTAGTCTATATTAGAGACACTTAACTTGTCAAGTGCATAATATTATAAGGAAATTTAATCCAATTGACGTAAACAGAAACATTGTATTGCATTTCTTTTAAGATCGTACTTGAAAAATACCAACGGCAAGAATATAACAACCACTGTTCCATTTTCAACAGAGGCACTTATCGCTTGTAATCGTATTTTCAAGATGTAACGGCTGAAATGCTCGTTAAAAGAACATTAATGTAAAAACGTTCAATTAAGCTTTATACGATCCCTTGTCGCATTAGAAAAAAGTTCTAAAAAGATGACCTGATGGTATATAATATAACAAATATTTATAACATACTCTCATACATAACATTCGATTCGAAACAAGTGACTCTGCACAACTTTATACGAGGCTCAAAATTTCTTAAGTTTGACACTAATTTTTTGCTGGAGAGATTTTTAAATGTCATACCAATAATTTTATAGTATCTTCGTATCAAAATATAAACCTAAAGTTGATTTTGCAAAATTTCAATTTTTTTAAGAGATATTGTTTAAACAATTTTTAAGCATCAAATTATTAAGAAAAAAATTTCTACCGTTTTATTTGATGAATTTTGATAAAATTTGGTATGAGTAATATACACTCAAATCTCGCTATAACGACCTTCTCTATAACGAGCGCTCTCTATAACGAGGGCTCTGTCTCTCGGTATAGCGAGAAAAATTTTCTCCCGATTACCCCCACTATTTATAAACAAATGCACATTCAGTTGGTTTAAATTTGGTTAAAATCAATTTTATTTATATGAAATAAAAATAAAAAGTCACTTCATATTTGAAATTATATCAATGAGTCGAACATCTTCAAAATTTAAGCTTATATAAATTTTCTGTATGTTAAAGTTCAAATTAAACTAGGTTACGTTTGTAATTTTGACATTATTTAATTTGTAAACACTAAAAAAAATGAATGAAGAATCTTAAAAGTGGGGATTTCTCATTTCTCCTCTTGCGCTCGTAATAGAGGGAGACTTGACTCCCGAACTTCTCGTTATAGCGAGATTCGAGTGTATAATAATTATGCTGTGGCTACTGTTTTCACATACCCACACTTACACATACATAAAAATTAAAAACAATTTCATTAATTATTTATCAAATTTAATATCCGTCAGTCATAGGAAAGTATGGGAATCGCATAAGTCTGTCTCACTCCCACTCATGGGACATGACTGACGTGGTAGGTTTTCGTACTGATATATATATATATATATCTGGCGAAAAGGAAAATCCGTCGTTTAGCTTAATGCCTAGGCTTTAAGCTAAACGCGGGCGAATAGGAAAATTTTCATGTAAATGACAATTATTTTTTTAATCGCCTGAATTTGTTAGTCATTTAGCTTAATGCCTAGGCTTTAAGCTAAACGCCCAAGGAGCGCCAGGCGAATAGAAAAATTTGTATCGATTGATCAAGAATAAACAATGAAATGAAATTTCAATTAGTACCTAATATAATAGAAAAAATCCAAATTAAAGACAAAAATATTTTTCACAAAATTGCAATAATTTATTGTAATTAATTGAAGTCAACTGAAAAGGAAAAAAATAACAATTTATTTATTGCAGCAAGTTAAACTTTGGTGGCATCGCGAACTGCAAATTATTTTTAATTTTAAGTAAGAGCACCTATTTGTCTTGGATTGATTTTTAGCCGCCTAACAGTAACATTTTTTAAATCCTTGTCCGCCGCACATAGATTGATGTGATGCAGCTTCTCTTAAAGTCAGAGTGACATCTGTACAAACTTCGTCAATTTTTAGAATTTCAGTACCTGATTGCGATATATCAGTTCGCGAAAACCAACCTTTAATAATGCCATTTTTTGTACCAATTTGGTAAACATCGTTTTTAATGTCTATTACGATGT